CCCTCAGTTTTAATCCCTCACTATTGGAACTGCAAGACCTCAGTTTTATCCCTCACATAGGCCTGCAAGACCCCTCCTGTTATAATCCCTCACTTGGCCTGGTGGCTCTGTTTAATTCCTCTTGGATACGAGCTGTTTTAAATCCTCTCTGTGGACTGCAAGCGCCTGTTAATCCCCTCCTCGGGACGGCCGGCTCCCCAAAACATGTAATCCCCATTCCATTTGGTCTGTGAGCTCTCAGGATCATCCCCCCCACGGAACTGGCTTATATTGGAACTCCTTATATCTGGCACACTAACTTATATCTGGTACAGCTTATATTGGAAATGTTAGATCTGGAAATGCTTGTATCTGGAAACTTTGTACCGTATCTGGAACTGCTTCATATGAACTGCTTCTATATGGAACCGCATATTGGTGGAACTGCTTATATGGTTCTTTTATACTGGAACTGTTATGCAGTTATATGGACTGCATCTCTGGTACTGCCTATACTCCTGGAAGCTATATATTAAACATACAATACTGAATAACTAAATAAATTAAATATACCTACATATAACTAATATCACTAACTAAATAACATATAAATAAGTACATAAATAAATAAATTAAAACCTGCAGGCCTGTTGGCATCCTCACACATGGACCGTAAATCTGTTTTCAACTCCTCACTTGGATCTGCTGGGCTCAGTTTACATCCCCCTCCCTTGGACGTTAAAAGTGTTTAAATCCCTCACATGGAAAAGCTGTACGCACAAACCATCCCTACTTGCCGTGCTTTGAATACAGGATCCCATTGCTGTTATTATCTACGGATGCTGCAGCTGCACTGCAGCTGCTACTGTGCTGTGTCCGTTTACTGTTTCCAACTGCGCTACTGCTGTGCTGCTGCTCCATGCGCTACTGTTGTACCTTACTGCTGCATTCATTTATTGGCCATATCTCTTCACGCCATCTTTTTCCAGAATACCCCTGATAGCCTCTGACAAATTCTTACTGTTGTGGCTTGATACCGGATTATTACTGTTAATCTCTAGGATGCTGTACTGCTGCTGCTGACTGCTGCCGCGGCTGTGGTACAGGTTAACGCTGATCTTCTCTGTGGTACTGCTGCTGCCGCTGTGCTTGCTATGCTACTGCTGCAAACCCACTCTCTCAGAAGATTATCCCTGTTTCTAATGGACGCTGCTCACGATCTCACACAATCTCACGATCTCACACAATCTCACACAATCTCACACAATCTCACACAATCTCACACGATCTCACGATCTCACACAATCTCACACGATCTCACACAATCTCACACGATCTCACACAATCTCACACAATCTCACACGATCTTACACAATCTCACACAATCTCACACGATCTCACACAATCTCACACAATCACACAATCTCACGATCTCACACAATCTCACACAATCTCACGATCTCACACAATCTCACACAATCTCACACAATCTCACACAATCTCACACGATCTCACACAATCTCACACAATCTCACACGATCTCACACAATCTCACACAATCTCACAATCTCACACAATCTCACACAATCTCACACAATCTCACACAATCTCACAATCTCACACAATCTCACACAATCTCACGATCTCACACAATCTCACAATCTCACACGATCTCAAAATCTCACACAATCTCACACAATCTCAAAATCTCACACAATCTCACACAATCTCACACAATCTCACACGATCTCACACGATCTCACACAATCTCACACAATCTCACACAATCTCACGATCTCACACAATCTCACACAATCTCACACAATCTCACACGATCTCACACAATCTCACACAATCTCACACAATCTCACACAATCTCACACGATCTCACACAATCTCACACAATCTCACACAATCTCACACGATCTCACACAATCTCACACGATCTCACACAATCTCACACAATCTCACACAATCTCGTGTGATCTCACACGATCTCACAATCTCACACGATCTCAAAATCTCACACAATCTCAAAATCTCACACAATCTCACACAATCTCACGATCTCACACAATCTCACGATCTCACACAATCTCACACGATCTCACACGATCTCACACGATCTCACACAATCTCACACAATCTCACACAATCTCACGATCTCACACAATCTCACACAATCTCACACAATCTCACACGATCTCAAAATCTCACACAATCTCACACAATCTCAAAATCTCACACAATCTCACACAATCTCACAATCTCACACAATCTCACACAATCTCACGATCTCACACAATCTCACACAATCTCACACAATCTCAAAATCTCACACAATCTCACACAATCTCACAATCTCACACAATCTCACAATCTCACACAATCTCACACAATCTCAAAATCTCACACAATCTCACACAATCTCACAATCTCACACAATCTCACGATCTCACACAATCTCACGATCTCACACAATCTCACACAATCTCACGATCTCACACGATCTCACACAATCTCACACAATCTCACACAATCTCACGATCTCACACAATCTCACACAATCTCACACAATCTCACACAATCTCACGTCCCCAGAGGTTCAGTCACTTCCTGTCCAATCTGCAGATCCGTCATCTTCACGTGTGCATTTCATGGTCGCACATAAAGATTAAGTTTAAGATTAAAATTAAGATTACGGCATCCTGAATTTGTCCCACAGCGGGGAAATGTCAGTGTTGCAATCACCAGAGCAATAACTGAAATAAAATAAATCTTTAACTTCAGTCCATTATTGTGCAGAATTATACAGTAGTTTGTAAACATCTGTAAAGGTTCGCAGCATGAGGGTCTGGGACAGAGACAGTGGACACATGTAGAAACTTTCTGTGTGGAGTTTGCATGTTCTCCCTGTGTCTCTTTTCCACTTATAAACAGTTACTATTGGCAATAATTGAATAAAAATTGTGAATTGAATGTTAATTTGGAACACTCTGACACTCTGATGACTGGCCCGTCCTAGGACTAACCCAGCGCAGTGTGGTGAGGATGAGGATGAGGATGAGGATGAGGATGAGGGGGGGGGGGGGGGGGGGGGGTCCGAGGGGGCGGGCTGTCTGTATGAGCGATGATACGACCGCTCTGAGCTCGTCCCAAACGCGCCTCAGCACTTTGCAGCGGTCTCTGAGCTCAGCTGTTCTAACCTTACACTCTGTGGATTCCACTGCAGCTCAGGACTGAGGGCCAGGTCTGAGTCTGGGTCTGGTCTGAGTCTGGGTCTGGTCTGAGTCTGGGTCTGGTCTGAGTCTGGGTCTGGTCTGAGTCTGGGTCTGGTCTGAGTCTGGGTCTGGTATGGGTCTGGTCTGAGTCTGGTCTGGGTCTGGTCTGGGTCTGGTCTGGGTCTGGGTCTGGTATGGGTCTGGTCTGGGTCTGGTATGGGTCTGGGTCTGGTCTGGTATGGGTCTGGTCTGGGTCTGGGTCTGGTCTGGGTCTGGTATGGGTCTGGGTCTGGTCTGGTCTGGTCTGGTCTGGTCTGGTCTGGTCTGGTCTGGTCTGGTCTGAGTCTGGGTATGGTCTGGGTCTGGGTCTGGTCTGAGTCTGGGTCTGGTCTGGGTCTGAGTCTGGTCTGGTCTGAGTCTGGGTCTGGGTCTGGGTATGGTCTGGGTCTGGTCTGGTCTGGGTCTGGTCTGGTGTGGGTCTGGTCTGGGTATGGTCTGGGTCTGGGTCTGGTCTGAGTCTGGGTATGGTCTGGTCTGGTCTGGTCTGGTCTGGTCTGGTCTGAGTCTGGGTATGGTCTGGGTATGGTCTGGGTCTGAGTCTGGGTCTGAGTCTGGGTATGGTCTGGGTCTGAGTCTGGGTCTGAGTCTGGGTCTGGTCTGGGTCTGAGTCTGGTCTGGGTCTGGTCTGAGTCTGGGTATGGTCTGGGTCTGGGTCTGGGTCTGAGTCTGGGTCTGGGTCTGGTCTGGTCTGAGTCTGGGTCTGAGTCTGGGTCTGAGTCTGGGTCTGAGTCTGGGTCTGAGTCTGAGTCTGGTTCTAGCCATCTTATATTGCAGTTTATATTAGAGTAGTTTTTGTCTATTTATGCATAATGAGTTCATTATATCCTGTGTATGTGACGCCATTGCTCTCCCCTCAGTCCTCTGATGATGTGTGTCTGTGTCAGTCTGTAGCACCTGGATGTGTGTCTGTGTGTGTGTGTGTCTGTAGCACCTGGATGTGTGTCTGTGTGTGTGTGTGTCTGTAGCACCTGGATGTGTGTCTGTAGCACCTGGATGTGTGTCTGTGTCAGTCTGTGGCACTTTGAAGCCAGAGAGACTGGTTTAACTGTTTATGTCCCGTGTCTTTCATAACTTGAAGAAATCATCTCCTTTTTAACTTTCTGAAGTTTTAAACAGACTCAGACACAGACACGTTCCAGGAGCTAAACCCACACGTTCCAGGAGCTAAACCCACACGTTCCAGGAGCTAAACCCACACGTTCCAGGAGCTAAACCCACACGTTCCAGGAGCCAAACCACACCGTGAACATTAATGTCTCAGTCTTTCACTTTGGGGGAAGTTCAAAATCAAGTTTACGTCACTTCTTTAAGACTGAAATCTCATGAAAGTCTCCGATCACTTTCAGGATCCAACTGTGCCACACTTTATACACCGCTACAACTCTGACTCGGTATTGCACCTTATCGGACTGTATATTTTTATATATATTTTGGTAACTTGCACTTTTTTTAAAACTGTATTTTAATATGTATCTTGGAAAATGTGCACTTTTATTGGACTAACGTGATGGAAATGAGCTGAATTTGGTGCAACTTAAAGCAACTACACATATTTCTGAATAAATTAATCTTAAACTAAACTTACATTTAAAATATTTTAGCCAAAGCCAACTCACTGCAAACCTCTGAAACATTTCTTTAACACATGCACGTCTGAAGCTACAAGATACGTGTCCGAAAGCGTTTCAAACTGTAGTAAAAGTCCGGTCCCGTGCCGTGCCGTGCCGTGCCGTGCCTTAC